GGTATGGCGTGTCACCATCACTGGCCTATGAAACAGCTCAGTGCTGAGCTAGAAATAACACAAGGAGATGTGGTTGCACTCTGTTGTTACTTCTGTAACATTTCCTGAACACATGAATTTTCCTGAGTCTGTGTAGCAACTATGATAGGACAGGAAATGATGCAGGATGCTTTAAGGAACTGCCAATAATTCCTACTGAATCTGAAGCATCCTTCTAATAACAATATTGCATTCTTCTCAATCTGAAAACTAGATGTTGAATGACATAAATATGGTGGAAGTAAAGGCTACATGAAAATAAATAGCATGTTTAAGGAATGGTTCAACAATGAATAAGACAAGGATGTGTGATGTCCCCATGTACTTTTAAAAAAATAAATATATGGCTAAACATATAATAATTGCTTGGGATGATATTGAAGGGGTCTTCATTGGGGATATTAATGTACCACACGTTTATAAGCTGTGTTGTTGGATGGATGGATGGATGGATGGATGGATGGATGGATGGATGGATGGAGAGAGACAGACAGACAGATAACCTTTATTGTCATTTTTTACTGTGGGCACAATGGCACACATTAAAAATGAAATTTAGTTACTGCTCTCAAAGTGTACACATACATAATACACATTTAAACATACTATATACAACATATGTATAGACCTACACCCTTACATATAAGTAACATGTAAATATAAATATTTGAGATCCCAAATGTATAGTGATACAGATATAGATATCATATATAATAGTGATATGGATTGTATGATGCAATATATTGGATCAAATGGCAGCAAACCAAAGTAGCCAAATTCAGTTGATCCAAAAGAAGAAAAGCAGGGTCAGTTTGGACTAGTACTTAGATAGGAGTCCACTAGGATATTCCAGATTTAGATTTAAAAAAAATACTCAAACAAGACAATGACAAATCATTTCTCTATTTCTGCTATGGAATCACATGGAATTGAGCTTGGCTTAAAGCAATCTTTATCTTTAAATTCTGTTTTCAGGATAGTATTTTGTTCTATTTATTTTACCTTCTTGTATCTCTGCAATTATTTTGTTACAGCTGGCTGGTAAGATAATATTAGTGGCTATGTCTTCGCAGCAGCAAATGTTCCACTATAAGTTGCTCTTTTTCTTTTGTAGCATTAAAATATGTTATGTGGTGTTTCATCTTCCATGCATGAATTTTGCTAACTTGTTTTATAACCAAGTTCCTTCTATCCTGTATTAACTTCATTGTGGATTCATTGTGATTTTTTTTCTGTTTCAAATCAAGTGGCAGAAAATAATACTTTTTTAAAAATCTGCTTTTTGTTCTACTATGGAGCAAAATAAATAAATAAATAGACTCTGCTTCCAGAAATGATATGTCATCTGTATATGTTTATTTGGTATATAGCAGTTTATTCTGCATCCAATCTGGCAAGTTTTTTTGCAGGGCCTTTAAAAATTGCAGAATTAGCTTGATGATCAGGTTACTGCCTGGTCAGCCCTGTATATATTGCATGAGTAACACAATTTTATTTGGGTTCAGTAATTTCCAGTATATTTTAATTTGAAGCTACATGGTTAATTTCTCTAAGAGGGCAAAACTTCCATAAAGAAACAAAAATCAAATTACAACAATGATAGCATTTTGGTTGAATTATGAGCGAGGGGAGGGGTAGAAGAACAATGCATCTCGGTTTCTGGAATGGTTACCATGTGAGGGAACCTGTGCTACTGAAAATAAATAAATAAATTTTCATGGTTTTATTTTTTTTTCTCCCAATCTGGTCTCTTGAAATGTATCTTGATGATTAGTTACAAGAGAGATATAGTCAAAGATTTGGCTGAAAGGGTTACCATAGAGTTCTTCCATAGTAGCTATCAATTTTGCTCATCTTGTTTCTCTCTTTATCATGGGGATTTCCTGGCTACAGAGCAACTCTCTGATCTCCATTTGTGCATTGAAGTTTTTAGCAACAGGAAATAATGGTCTCCTGCTTTCATCAGATCTCTTCAAGAAGTTCCAGTCCTTAGTTTCTGGCAACTGCTGCAGTTCTCCAATCTAAATATCATGTAAGTGGCAGATTGGATTATCCATTTAAGAATTCTCTGTTAAGACTACTCACAAAGAAATATGCAGCTGTCATGTTTTTCCCTTTTGGCAAGTAACAGCATTCATCTAATCAAAGTAACCAGTCTGAATTTGTTGGAAATTAGTTGCCACACCTGCGTTCATGGCCACAACAATTCTTCCTTTCCTCTATCAAGTCCAGCTTCCTTTGCATTTCTTTTCTCTAAAACAATGGCAGAATGCTTTTTTGTCTTCTTGCTTGAGTGTCCAACTTGACAAATGCCTGGAAAAATGGTTGAGATTTTATTCTTTGATATTTTAAGAGGAAGACTAGGGTCAATGAAATGCATTGCTGGCTTCTTGTTAAAAAACAACAAGAGAAGCAGGTATTTCTACTCCGCTGCCCATTTTTGTCATGGAACTTCATTTTCTGAATGTCTCTTTCCATAACACAAACAGATATACCTACAGCTAGTTAGCTGAGTATTGCTCAAAATCTTTGAACTGGAATCAGTATAAGCCAGCATGACTTCAATCAGATTTCCCTAAGTCAGAGATGGACATCCTGTGAATTCTGGTTTTAGTGGCTTTTCAATTCTCCTCTGAACACAGTGATTAAAAAACTAACTATCCTCTCATTTTGATACAGGAAATACAGTAACTGTGGAGTATATCTGAAAATAAAGTTAAAAACAGTCCCAAACTCTCCCCCAAAATAAAAAAGAAAATGGGAATCCATTTTGCATGGTAACCATCAATTGTGTGCTTTACTCTTCCCCAAAAATGTTGCAAACAATTCCCAGCCACTAGATGTTTGCCTAGCCCTTACTAAAGTTTCCATTCTTTATAGGCTCAGGATCTCATATTCAGTAGTCACAAATGTTTGCCAGCAGACAAATAAAAAGTCTTAGGCCACAGGCAGAGGCTGATTCTTTTAAGAACACTCCCCATTTACCAATGGGCAACTGGTTGAAGAAGGAGCAAAAGTCCAGAGTTACCTTGGCAGGATGGGCGGCATAGAAGTCTAATAATAAAAGCTTAAAGCTAGTTGAAGCAAGAATGTATGGAGCTCTCCAGGGTCCTGCAACTCCTATTGGATTCCATCTGATTGGTTTAATTCTTTTCCCCTGCTGGCCTCCATCCTAGTCAAAGCAAGACAATATCTTATTCTGTACTGCCAAGGGAGGGGGACCTTTAAGGGAACATATGGGTAAAACTTTGAGTGTATTATGTATATATTATTAGAGCAACCTTCGCTAGCATGCTGTCCTCCAGACATACTGGATTTGTAAAATTGGCCAAAGACTACTGTTACACCTATATGTTTCTCAACCAATCTGCCTTAATCACTCATCACTTGCTTGGAAAAAAATAATTTATTTTCATCACTTGGTTGTTCAGTTTATGTATTTCCAAAATACACAAGAGAATCATCCAGTCTAGGACTTCATTATAAGTTCCTCTTGTCTTGAACTTGTCTAATCACAAGCGCACTGGGGTCTGCAGGGGGAAACAACAAATTCCCTCATTCCATCAAGACCTGCTTATCTATCATGAATTTGACAACCAAATGCAAAATGTTAACATCCAGTCATGGTTAGATCCCATTTGTTTTGACAATTCCTTCCATAGAGCGTCTTGATGCAGATTTATAACACACTCCTTGAAAAGCCTCATTAATCCCTGCAGTTGCAGACTCAGCAGATGAATGCCAATGGGATTATGAACTAAAAATCCCCTTGGAAACAAAAAAGAGGAATCAGTATGTCTTAGGGGAAAAAAATAGGGGAAGATATAAGGGAACAACAGATAAACACCCACATCCTAGCAAAGAACACCATGCTCAGTAAAAACACAGTATTGTATATTTGTGGGAATTGAAAGTAAAAAATCAGAAATGCCTAAAATAGTGTGTCTTGAACAGTATTTTAATTAACCAAAAGGCAATTTGGTAATCCTGAATTTAAACAATACTGCCCTCCCCACTTTTCAGGGAGATTAGAAAAGCTAATAGTTGTGTTTACTGTAATGTATTCTCATTTATCCTAAGATGATCCTATCACAGTCACTTATTTTGGAAAACATAGTATTTCTATAGGTTCATACAGCAGCATACATATGAAGTAGCTACTTAAAATTCTGAAAAGAAATCCTTCTATAGGCCAAATCATTGCTGCATTTTCAACTTTTAATTATTGTTGTCACAGCTATTCATGCTCCAGTGACTACCAGATTAGATTAGTATGTTATTCTCTGCATAGGAGGTGGCTTTAGAACAGTGTTTTTCAAACTTGGCAAAGTTAAGAGGTGTGAACTTCAACTCCCAGAGCATGCTGGGTGGGGAATTCTGGAGTTGAAGTTCACTTCTCTTAAAGTTGTCAAGTTTGAAAAATTGCCTAACACACTCCAAAACATGATATGAACTATAACAAACCATTCCAATTATAGACCAATTTCCAATGTTGGCAATGGTTACTAGATTTGTTTCCTGAGTATATCACAATGCTTCTTTCGACTCCTAACAGTTGGCGTGGTTTAGAGCTGTGATTCATAATCTGTTTTTTCCCTATATGGGGACTCACAATTTTAATATCTACCAGCAGTGTTTTCCTCCCAAAACCAATCCCCCGGGGTTTTGAGATTACTTTCTACACCTAGCAAAGTCCTTTTGGTGCTTTCTTTCCAACACAGCGCAGTATACTTTAAAGATTAGAATTCATAAAATGGAAGGTTTTTCTAATGAAATGTATTTACTAAATTCATGGAACTAATACAGAGAGAGGGAGGGAGGGAGGGAGGGAGAGGGAGAGAGAGAGACTATATATAAAACTTGCCATTTTCACTCCACCACATATTAAGGACAATAATGGAAGTCAGATTAAATTTTAAAATCTTTAGCTTATGGAAACAGTTACAAGATAGCAAAGAAAATGTGGTTAATCAATAAGGTAATTTATTTCATTTCCTTGACAGAAAATAACTTCATTAGCACAGAAACAGAAGCTGAGTTCACAGATTGTGCCAAGCTTTAGTTAGTTTTAATTCTGATTTGTAGAACAAGTTATAGTAGCTTGGAACAGACGCCTTGGCTTTCAAATACAGTGGCTATCTTCACACATAATGCTATATCCAAATCAAAACATTGCATTATGGTTTGGTGTAATGTATGAATCAGGCAAGAGTGGAATCAGGGTGGCACTTTCCAGAGCAAGCAAATCCAGCAGGAATATTTTGGGATGCACGAATAATAAGAAATGTAACAAGCTTGGCTCAACCTAATCAAAATCTTCAGATTCAAACAAGGCTGAAAAATGCTAACAAAACTCAGAACACAATGTTTTCTCTTTTTTTTCTTTACTTTTTTTCCTTTTCCTTTTTTTTCTTTTCTTTTTTTTTTCTCTTTTAGCTGAAACAAGAAAAGGGAAACCAAAATTGGGAATAAAGACAAAATGCAAATACACAGAAATCTCACAGCAATCTCAATCTAATCTTTCATAAGTACAAATATATCATACAAAAGTTTCATATCTCTTGCTTCTAAGAGAGCGCAAGAAAATAGATTGAAATGGTTTCCCCATGGGTTCTCTTAAAAAGACTTTTTAGAAAAATGTCAAGCATGACAAGCCATGTAATATTTTGGTATGTAGAACTATATATCAACATCTTGCCATTCAGGTCTGTTTTTAGGGAATCAGCCAAGCATTAAAAAAAAAAAAAAGGCTGCTACATAAAAGAATTCAGTCTCTGTGGTGCCATTAGATGCATCTGTGCTTCTTATTCATTGGATTACATTTTTAGTGTATATTTGAGTATTTGTAAAAGAGGGCACTTTATTGAGGTTTTTTTCCCCAAGACATAATGGCTTTGAGCTTCAAACCTGATCTAGAGATAATGACTGTTATTATTTCACTAAATGTTTTCCAAGCCCAAGCCTTTTCCAGGTAGGCTTGCAATATAATAAAGACAACAGAACAAAATATATAAACATTCAAAACCAAAGGGATGTGACACCAGAATTAAAACTAATTTTCTAGGCCTGCCTCTATCTAGTCCCTGAACCCATAATCAGTGTGGCTACATTTAATCTGGGAATAAGTAACATAGTTCTCTTAAAAGGCACATTCTCTCAGAGGGAATTTATCAGGCATGATTGGGGCGGGGGATAAGAGGACAGTATCATCAAGGGTACCATAATGTTGTTATTCAAATGATGCAAAATAGATTGTCATCATAGTATCCTTATGCATTTAAGTCATTGTAGCTTATACCACATGCCTATGTTGTTCTGATCTACAAACAGCAGTGGGGCTTTTGGGAGAAACTATTGTGGGTGGGGTGGAAGCTGCCCTCCAAACATGTGCAAACATACTGTATCTTAAGATCATCATCTTCCTATAATTGTGGCTTAAGAATCTCAACTAGAAATTGTTTAGAGTAATAATAATCTTAGAAAGAACTTCAGTCTTTTTCAGACAGTCCATTCACCCTCTCCTTTTCTCAGTCTCATATACAGAGAAAGAGAGATTGGATGGATCCATGCATAGATAGATGGATCCATGCATTTCCCTGTGTGAACAGGGAGCTGCTTCTCACTCGTATAGGAAATACTATTAAGTATGGATGTTTCCAGATCTGTATCTTCAAATTGTTTTTTCTCCCCCAATTTTACAATCATCATTCAAAAGGCCATGTCACTAAACAATGGCCATGTCTTAAATCCCAACAACAGAACTTGATTTGTAGCTGATACTTTTGGTGATCTTGCCCATAATCTTAAATCATGCTATTGATATCTACTTTGTTTCATTATAAATTGATGTCTTTGATCCAATCTGGAAGTTTTCTAAGATGACATTCATCCTTCCCTTCTGTCTCACAAATCCTTTTCATTAACAAATAGTCCATTTAGAATAGAGATTCTAAGTTGTTACTCAAATTCTATGAAGCGTATTTCTTTTAATCTAGTACAGTATATTCAGAATAACAATGCATCCATAGCCTTGCTTTTTAATGCCAGACCTCAATTTTAGAAGATGATGATAATAATGATAATAACGATAATGATAACTGGATAATGAATGTGACAGTACCTGGAGACAGCAGAACAGAAGAAAAGGAACTGGAGAAGATAACAAAATACGAAGTTCTGCAAATAGAAATAGAATGGTTGTGGCAAAAGAAAGCAAAGGTAGAACCAATAGTAATAAACAGCTTGGGTGCAATCCCAAAACACCTGGAGCACCACTTGAACACCGTCGGCATTGAAAAATTCACCATAAATTTCAAAAGCCAGCTTTACTTGGAACATCTTGCATTCTGCAATGATATTTGTAACTTCATCAAACACCCAACTCTGCCTGTTCCAAGTCCTTGGGAAGGACTCAATAGCTGAACAAAAATGACAAATCCAGTCTGAACATCTGGTTGACTGTGAGATGAACCATAATGATAACAATGATATACTTTGAAGCATAATAAAAATGTCTACATTACTGTATGATAAAATAAATAGAACTGATTAGATTTTACTGGATAAGGGCACAGCATCCAAGTCAGAAACAAACAAGAGCCCGATTTTTAAATCTGAAATTAAATTGGCAAAATGCAGGGACAAAGAGGATTTGGAGAGATAAGAATATGAGGTAGAAAAACACTCCCTTCAGGTAAGAAGAAACATGAAGTAGAGAACTAATAGTGTACTGTATGTGATGGTCTCCCTGCCTGCTGTTTATTCTATATTTTTAGCTGATTTATAAATGAACAGGATTACAGCAAAGGGTCTCGGAAATAAGAATAAAATAAAAGATAATCAGATAGGTTGAAGTAGAAGTCGCAGTGCACCTTCCAGCTAATGCTAGAACTCTTAAGTTCCTCCCTACACAGACTTACCAAGTATTTTCTAGGGTTGAATTAAATAACTATAAAGGTTCTAGAATACCCAGGTGATTCCAAAAGGTTAACAGGAGAAAGTTCATGTTCTTAGCAGGTTCGTCCTCCTTCAAATCATCTGGTCTTTTTGCTGACAGTGTTTCCTCCAGGGAGGAACTGGCTTGATTTGCAAAGAAATTAGATTGAAAACCATTCCATACTCCTGGGACCCCTGCTGGCAAGCAAGAAACAAATACATTTTGGAAGTGAAGGAGGCTGGTGAGAGAAAAATGTGAATCTGATTCCTTAAAACGTTTTAAGCTGAGAAATAGTTATAATGCATTTTATAGTTAAAGTCAAGTTTTGAAAAACTATTTTAATTCAGAATGGGATATTTTCATATCTTTTTAAAATTGATTTTAATTGATAATAAAAAATAAAAGGAAAAACACAATAATAGCGATGCTGATATATACATTGCCAAAGAGAACAAAAAAGAACACATAAAAGTGCTATAAAAAGTGAAAAAAACACAACAAAAAATAAACATAATATGACATGATATAATTATAATTAAGATGTATTTTATAGTTAAAGCCAAGGGATTTTTGAAAAATTAATTCAATTCTGAGTGAAATATTTTCATATCTTTAATGGCCAGTTGTTGTGATACTAGTACTGATAATCCTTGTTCTACCCCTCCACAAACAGTACGTGAGACTTGATCCATTGTTCATACATTGTGGTAAGTCATAGTTTCCTTAACTGTGGTAAAGGAATAAACAATAATTGAGTGGAGAAGCAATAAATTCATTTTCCTTAAGAAGTCTGAAGGAGATTGAGGAATGGATTTATCACATTTAACCGGAAAACAATTTCATCTGGATTTTTTTTCAGAAGCTAGACAGACTTTGGAGATTGGTCCTATGATGGTATTTAATCAGACAACAATAGATAAGAAATGGTTGTAAGAAACAAACATGGACATTTGATCCAGGACAAATCACTGTTATCTTTTGGGATGACTTGGCCATGATAAATTTTCTATTGAGTTGATTTCAATAACATTTTGTTATCAGAGGGTTTTGAAACTTTAATGTTATCTTTTTTATTATTGTTGTTCTTCTTGTTAACTACTTGGTCATTAAAATAATATATAGATGACAGGCTAATAACTTGCAAATAGATTTAGAAGTTTAAAAATGGGAGGGGCTGTTTTGCATGAGTGGAAAACTAATATTGTAGTATATTAATCAGTCAACTTACTGATTAATATACTACAACATTAGTTTCCCACTCATGCGAAACAGCCACCCCATTTTTAAATTTCTAAATCTATTTGCCAGTTATAATAATATAAATAATATGTGTATTATGCACTTTTTAATGCACTTTTTAAATTTCTTATTTTGTCTTTTTTCTGTGGGGTTTTTTTTTTTGAAAGACAACAAAATTTTGAAGTTTTGAATTTGTATTTTGTATTTTAACTGTTTTTTGGGTAAAACAAAAACAGAATAACAAAAAGGAAAACCCAATAATTGACAAGAATCACTCCAGCATAGCAGAGGATATACCTATTATTCAGTTAGCAATACTATATTTGGGCCAATTTTCTGTTGGCAACATTCAGAGCAATTTGCATTCAGAAGATGGGTATGAATAAGTGATAGTGGGAAGCATAAAAAGGGCTCAACATTTAATTTTCATAGTAATTTATTTATTATTTATTAATTCAGTTTAATGTAGCAACCCATCTTACACATGTGAATTTGGGTGGCTTACAATAATTCAGATAACACAATAAGCAAAATATAAAAAACCTAACCAAAATGTATAAAACTGTATTAAAAACCATAGAACATAACAGTGGTCTACAAGGAAAAAGCCTCAGAAATGAAAGTAGCTAAATTTTACCAGAACTGGGTCACTAATAAAAGAAAATTAAGTCCTGAGTATTAATTGGCTCCAGTTTCCAAGATACAGCTTCAGGTCAAAACTGCATCAAAATAATTCAAAGTTATGAGGGGTGTGTGCAATTATGCTCCCTAACTTTTCTGCTAAATATGATATAGCAATGAGAATGGTTTCACACCAATTATTATAAATTTATTTTTTTATTGATACCAATAACATAACTTTCCATTCGTTTATTGGTTTTTCATGTAACATTTTCATGCTTTTTCACTCTGCAAGAAGTTCCACTGTTTTAATCTGGAACCCAGTAATAATAATAATAATTAATAATAATAATAATAATAATAATAATAATAATAATAATAATAATAATAATAAAGTTGGAAGGGACCTTGGAGGTCATCTGGTCCAACCCCCTGCTCAGGCAGGAAACGCTATACCATTTCAGACAAATGGCTGTCCAGTCTCTTCTTAAAACTTCCAGTGTTGGAGCATTCATCACTTCTGGAGGCGGGTTGTTCCACTGGTTAATTGTTCTAACTGTCAGGAAGTTTCTCCTTAGTTCTAGGTTGCTTCTCTCCTTGATTAGTTTCCATCAGTTGCTTCTTGTCCTGCCTTCAAGCGCCTTGGAAAATAGCTTCACTCCCTCTTCTTTGTGCAATTCCAAATCCCTAACCAGGTCATTTAGTTCACTCTGTGAAATTAGATGTTGTTCAGGAGGAGCATACAGTGGGCTAGTTTGGGTCTTCTGACATTGATGGTCCCAGATCAGCTGCATCCTGCTCATCATCTTTATCATCATCTGAGTCTAGAAAGTAGGATTCTGGTGGATCTAGAATTGACAAGTCCTCACCATGGGGTACAGGATGTAGTGCGGATGGAATGTTTGGACATTCCATGGTCCACTTCCTCTTTCTTGAGATCCCTTTTGCATTTGGGGGAACCATGCAAAAACAGCAATCATTACTATGATTGGTGGTTTCCCTTCACCCTATTGGGACCACGAAAGGCATGGATTTTTTCTTCTTGTTTAGCCAATGGTGCAGATAAGTTGCACATGTAATGCAACAATAATGAGCGGCCCAAATCTTGTCCTGATTCCCTATTTTGCATCCAAAATATACGTGGTATGCCTTTTTTATCACAGGACATCATACTGCATTTTTGAGATGCACATGTAACCTTGCCACAAGTGTAGCAGAAGTTATCTGCATTGTTTACACAGTTTCGAGGCATCTTGGCTTCTGAGGAAAAATATCATGTAATTGTTCCTTGGAAATATTAGGCAATTACACTTTCACTTTTAGATGATACGTAAATCTGACCAAGACAAATGTGCCTTGCAATAAAAGAACAATAAATTACAGTTAGGCAGCCAAGAAATTAAAAGACACTCCTGGGGAGGAAAGCTATGGCAAATCTAGACAGCATACTAAAAAGCAGAGACATCACCCTGCCAACAAAAGTGCATATAGTCAAGGCCATGGTTTTCCCAGTTGCAATGTATGGATGTGAAAACTGGACCATAAGAAAGGCTGAGCGACAAAGAATTGAAGCCTTTGAACTATGGTGCTGGAGAAGATTCCTGCAAGTCCCTTGGACTGCAAGGCGATCAAACCGGTCAGTCCTAGAGGAGATCAACCCTGACTGCTCTTTAGAAGGCCAGATCCTGAAGTTGAAATTCAAATACTTTGGCCACCTAATGAGAAGGAAGGACTCACTGGAGAAGAGCCTAATGCTGGGAAAGATTGAGGGCAATAGTTGAGGGCAAGAGGACGACAGAGAATGAGGTGGCTGGATGGAGTCACTGAAGCAGTAGATGTGAGCTTAAATGGACTCCAGAAGATGGTAGAGGACAGGAAGACCTGGAGGAACGTTGTCCATGGGGTCGCGATGGGTCAGACATGACTTCGCAATTAACAACAATAACAAATAATCTTTAGTCTCAAAATGAAAATAAATCTATACACTTCCATGTGGTACCATTTTCCTTGTTCTACTGTAATTTGTTAAGAAGTTACGAGGCATCATGATCATTAGACACCTCCCTCCCTTGTAGGCAAATTTACTCGCCTGTATCATTACACTTTATCACCTGTTTTCTAATTCATCTAATCAAAATATGTAAGAATTAATACATTTTATCTCAGAGTTCAATAATTTCCCAAAATTTGTAGACCAGTGCAAACTGGTGCAGACTTACTCTACAATCCATCTATAAACATATATATAGATAGTCCTCAACTTGTAACCACAGTTGGGACCAGAATTTCCATTGCTAAGCAAGGTGGTTGAGTTGCCCCTGATTTTATGATCCTTTTTGCCATGGTTGTTAGTGTCAATCACTGCAGTTGTTACATGATTCACACAGTCATTAAGCAAATCCACTTTCCCCATTGACTTTGCTGGGAAAGTCACAAATGAAAATCACATCACTCTGGGGCACTTCAGCCATTGGTGAATATGTGCTGATGGCCGAGCACCAGAATTTTGATCACAGTGTGGGGGGGAGGAATCTGCAACAGTTGTAAGTGTGAGTACTAGTTTAAGTCAACTTTTCAGTGTTGTTGTAACTTCAAACAGTAACTAAACAAATGGTTATAATCAATGACTACTGAACGACCACTAAAGAGGCCCTATAGTTCTTACTACCAATTCATTCTTTTCTCTTAAGCCCAATCTTCTCTCTAATTTAGCCTTCAAAATAAAAATAAAAAAAATCAGAGAAATATAGCATGATCATTTTGTGGTGAGGATCAGATGCTTAAACAGGTTAAGTAACCCACCAAACTCTGCAATCCTAACTCATTTTGTTTCTGAGCAACTGTTTGACCTCTGTTCCACACCATTTCTCCCTCCCTATATAAATGCTTAAAGTTCCTCCCATTCTCATGTATTCTGCCCAGCAAAAAGTCCATCTAAGTATTTTACACATCTAGCATCAAAGACTTATCTGTATTTAAAATTATAATGTGAGACTCAGAGGAAACAAGCTAGAGAAATAATTTGAGCCAGGAAAATTAAATGGAGGAAGACTTCTAGCCAATTGGCTAGAATTAAAGATTTCTAGACAATCATCCTCTGTAACTGGTGGCCCTTAGCCTTACAGTCACCAGTTTGAGGATGTAAATGTTTGCAAAAATGCCTATGTTGTTCATCTGAAGTTCCAATCTAGAAATATCCATTTATTATGGGCAAAATTATTCTTATGTTTAGAAGGCATCTTACAGTCTTTGTGGATCAAAACAATATTTTTTCGCTCCAAATATTATTTTCCTCAAAAAATGGCTGAATTTTCCCCCTACCAAATAATTTTACATTGTATCCAACTATAATGCTTAAGGGAATAAAACCGAATAAATAATGGAACTGAAGCATTTCTTCAAGCAGCAGCTTAATTGGATCAGACGATTAATGCCCTTTTTACTTGAGTGACTTAAAAGCAAAACTAGATTGCCAAATGTTATAATCCCCACTCTTATAGCAAGATATAGTGGCTGTCAAAACATTGTTGAAATGGCCGTTTATTTTGCCTGTAAAATACATAAAGATGCTTGCATTTATGGAATTGTGGGTTGCAAATGATGCACATGGATTTAAAGAGCTTTAAACTGGAGATGCGAGTTGGCTTGGACTATGGAAGAAATGTCTTTCAGCAGATGCTGTTCACCAAAGATCGGCAGAAGAAAATAATACAGGAGACCACAGTTAAGATCAGGAACTGGACTCTGAGTTGACTGCATTTCTCCCTGGTAGGACAGTATCTCCTAGAGTCCCGTCCCTACAGCCATCTTAAGTTTAGACAGATGGCAGCTCTAATGCCACTAAAAATTTTGCTCTGCTCATGCTCAGAGGTTTTTGGCCACGATTTTGGCTGGCTCAGCCCTTGGATGGAAGGAAGAACCCTAGCCATTTTTCATTGCCCCCTCTACCCCACCCCAGAAACAGCCCCTTCGGGGAATCACCCGCTGCGCTTCCAACTCAGAGCCAAGCTTTGCGCGTTCTGCAGAGTAGGGTAGGGAGGAAAGAGAAGCCGGGCACTGATTCGGATTTCTTCCACTTCTCCGTTCTCGTTCTTACACGGGGCTTGAGCCATTGTGTAGTTCGGTCGCATGACTCACCGCTGCTCCACGGATCTCGCTCTTCGCCGCCTCCCGTCTCCGCTACGGGATCCCTTCAGCAGTAGCAGCAGCGGCAGGCGCCCAGAGCCACGGGGATCGGGCGGAAAGATTAGACCCATTGCCGGTCTACCACCAACGTCCGCTGGAGGCCGCCGGCAGCTGTGGATGCACTTTGCCGGGGGGACGAACGATCACGGCGAGGAGCCCCCACAGCGCCCAGAAGAGGCAAGAAGAGGCGTCCTGGATGGGTGGTGGTGACAGCGGCCGTTAGGGGGCGGCGTGGAGCGCGGTCAGCTACTCGCCAGGCTCGCTCGGAGCTTTCGGCCACAACCTGAGACTCGTTCAGCGCCTGCCTCCCAATTTCTCGCCTGCCCAAGACCGGCCACTCGCTACAACCGCCGCCGCCGCAGCTGGGCAAGACCGCAAAGGTGAAGTTTCTCAGAGAGCTACTCCAAGCGCGCCGCGACAGGGGCTGAAAGAGGGGAAGTAGGATTCGGGCAGAGGCGGGAGACGAGGCTTTCTCCTCGCTCGCTCGCTCGACCAGCCCGCCCGCTGTCTCACGGTGCTGTCGTGGGGCTCAAATCCGCGCGATTCGAGTAGGAAGCCCCGAGCTTCGCCAGGTGCCGCCTGAAGGGAACTCCCATCCACGAGAGGGGGACAGGCGTCCCCCTCAGGAATTCCGGGCAGAGAATCACTGAAGAAAAGCAACCGAAGCAGCACTTACTCCTTCAACTGCGAGTACCCCGTCGGCTATATCCTGGACATTGCCGCGGTCGAGCACCTGAGTGCAGATTGGTTACTGCAACCCAGTTCCGGTTACCGATAAGGCGCACGAACCTGGCTGAGTTTGATCCCAGGGCTAGAAAGCTTCATTCAAGAGGGCACCGCCAAGGCATCTACCTACTTCTCCACTCTCACATCTGCAGAACAAAGCCTGGCTTCCTGCTGGTGTTGCCTGCAGACTTGGTGCTTATAAGACTGTGCTAGATAGCCTGTGCCATTCCACAAGGAAGCCACCCTTCGCAAGACAATTAACCAGCGACCACCCAAAACGTGCAATAAGCTGACCTTATCCTATCTCTTGTGCCAGTCCACGGGCAGCATAAGAGAGTAGTGGCCAAACCAGTTGGGTCCCTTCCTTGTGTTTCAGTGTTAGTTCTGTGCCTCCAGCATCATCCTCTCCTAAGACAATGTTTTAAATAATCAGATAAAGATTGTACAATCATCTGGATTTTATTTGTGCTATCTGGCAGTTACCCAAGGCAGTGACACAGAAAGGACCTCTCCAGAATCAGCTCCACTGATCTCCAACAACTGCCCATGCCAAGTGGAAGAGGCCACCAACGACTATTTTCTCTGCTAATATTTGCCTATATTGGGTCTATTGCATGAAACAACAGAGTTTTCACACTGAAACCAGCCTTAGTTCTACTACTAACCACACAGAGTGTAAGTAAATCTCCTTCTCGTCAGGATGTCAGTTGTGCGAAGAAAGTTTGGGGATGACTATCAGGCAGTGGTGGCTGCACCATCGCATCGGAAACGGCAGCGCTTTGTAGACAAGAACGGCCGCTGTAATGTCCAGCATGGCAACCTGGGCAGTGAGAACAGTCGCTACCTTTCCGACCTCTTCACCACCCTAGTAGACCTCAAGTGGCGTTGGAACCTTCTAATTTTCTTGCTGACCTACACTGTTGCTTGGCTGGTGATGGCCTCCATGTGGTGGGGAATTGCTTATTTGCGTGGGGACCTAGATATACACCAGGGCCCCGGTTCAGGACATAACCCATGTGTAGCTAATGTCTACAACTTTCCCTCAGCCTTCCTCTTCTTCATTGAGACAGAAGCCACCATTGGCTATGGTCATCGCTACATTACTGAGCGTTGCCCAGAAGGAATTGTGCTTTTTCTGTTCCAGTCACTGCTGGGCTCTGTGGTAGATGCCTTCCTCATCGGATGCATGTTCATCAAAATGTCCCAACCCAAGAAACGTGCTGAAACTCTAATGTTTAGCCGTGCTGCTGTCATCTCACAGCGAGATGGAAAACTCTGCCTTATGTTTCGGGTGGGCAACCTCCGCAACAGCCACATGGTCTCAGCCCAGATCCGTTGCAAACTCATTAAGGTGGGTGAAAGGATTCCCTGGAAGGGAGGGAGGCTCATGATGGTTAAGATTCTTGCTATCTTCTTGCATGCAGATCTTGGCATCTCTGCTCTAGGGTATAGCAAAGGCCTATCTTTAAGCTTCAGATTAGCTTCCTATTCTGAGACTATTTATTTTTCCCTCTCTGCAAAGTAGGAACAAAGAGCTGTTGGAGAAGGCAAGCATATTTCATATATGATAGCTGATGGCAAAGGAAAGCTGCTATATAAATAATACACATCAGTGGATATTAAACCGAGAATAAATGGGTTCTAAAAAAGATGCTGAAATAGACTTAGGGAGTTGTAGCAGGGATACAAGGATAATAAATGTTCACTGTTACTAAAATATATGCTTTGTGATATTTGGTAAAACATACACATTTCCAGATTTTGCTTTGGATATTTAATTTAGAGGATAAAACTAGAGACTACAGACTTACAATTGTGGTTTTTTGAACTTATTAGGGAACTGTTTCCAGTAACTTCATAGGATCAGGGCATATCTTAATTTCAATAACTTCAGCTTTTCACAACTTCGGCTTTAAAAACAAACAAACTTCAAAACCAAGCAAACATTCAGCTAGCAATCAAGTTAGAAAATGTAACTGAATTTTTGCAAGTTACATCTGTGCTACTATAAGTCATTAGTGAACTTTCCTATTGAGTATCAATTTTGTTAATACACAAATAAAAATTAGGAGAAGAACATGCTAAGATTCCATCCCAAATGCCCTATGCTTTTGAGTTTGGGTTGCATGATTTAAGCAAGGTTTTAGTCCAAAATGTTTATAAATCCAGTTCTGAAAGACAGAGAAAACATGCTAAATAGAAGAATGTCTTTAAGCACACGCAATATGCTTTTCCACTTTTCCTCTGCTGCCTTGGCTGGTGCCTACATATGTTCTGCAGTGCCAATAAATGGTCAGTGCTTTCTGTTTTGACCCCATCAGTTGGAAAGAATAGATTCTAGGCCTTTCTTTTCTTGCAGGAGGTTGGTGCTACTGCCACAGCTGCCATCCCTGACAATCTGTTCAACATAGAAGCCCTCGCCCAAATCAATTTACACCCAGCCCACTCTCTTCCAGGTCAGAATCACTGTACAACTGCAGGAGCAAACAATATCCAGAACAGCAGCCAGGAGGAAAAAATAACACTGAAAGTGCTGTGGGCAGGGAATCAAAGACAGTATTCTCTGGAATTGAATATTTCCTATCTATGAATACCTTCCAACCTCTGAAGGCAGGTCTGTCCTTGGCAATGAGGAATTCAAAATATACTTCCTCTTTGTCATAATTTCATGTAGCATGAAAGAAACAAGTTTCCTATCCGAACCTAAGACTAACATTAGGCTGGGGCCTTTGGTGTAGAAATTTAGGCTTCCACACAATACCGTCTAAAGAAGAAAGTTTTAAACATCCAGAGTCTAAAATTATATCCAAGTCAGTCAATTACGAATCTACAGTACCTGAGAAATCAAATGATTACCAAATAATACCCTTATGGCAGAACCTGTCAAACAGATCATTATCGTAACAAGTTGTAGAGTAACTATTATTTATTTGTACAACAATATAACAGCTCAGTGCAATGTACTTCTTTCCACCAGAAAAGAAGAAAAGAACTAAAATAATTCCGATATTTGTAAGCAATTTATTGACCCCACAGAGAAGGGGGTTTAGAACAGCTGTTTTTGGAAAACAAAGAGGAATCCCCAGAGAAAGAAACAGAAGGAGCAAGAAAATCTGCAACTATATTGATTTAATCTTTTTCCTGCCCTATGCAATGCTGTTCATAGCAAACATGCATGGACATAGGAAATTATAATAGTCACCATTTCAGAAGCTAGCAAGACTTGAAATCTTCAGCAGGATGAGTTCCAATTAACCAAATCAACTACCAATCATGTCTATCTCCATTTTGATTTTTTTTATTTCCTCAGACAGCAACATAAATACTTCTTGTGTCTTATTTTCCTATAGTTTGGATCTCTCTTCCAACTTGTAAAGAGATGGCCTGTTTTTAAGCTTCTCACAGTTTTTACAACTTATATACAAGTGATAAATATATATGTGATAAATATAATGGTGGACAGTTATTGCTGAATGAAATTTTGTAGCATTACAGAAATGGCTGCTTTTGTTCTTATCTGGATGCACTTTCTGCTGCTTCAATATTTTTCAGAAAATCAAGCCCAGTACATGATGTTCCCAGATGAAAAAAAGACAGATATCATTTTAAAAGAAAGCATCTAAACTGAGTGTTGAGTGTAATAAAAATAATCCTACTTAATGAAAGCATCAGTAGAAATGTTGACCTTTGACAATTCAAATGAATTTAGGGTTGTTTTTTTAACGATAATAGTATAACACTAATTACACTTTGAATGTAATATCTTTCCGGAGCCTAGTGCAAGCCAATAAGTATTGAATTATGTCTTGAATGTTCTCTTTTACACAATCTTGAATACTCCTAAACCACAGTGACACTGAAGAATCTGGACATTAATACCCTTGTATAATATGAATAATCTAGAAAATCTCTGCACAAATTGTAATAATACATGGATATTTGACCCCCATACACACAAAATTAAGTATTCTTTCCCCCATAATTCTGTCATCAGAGTTCCTCGCCTATAACATGATGTGAGTAGTAGATTTACCACTACTTAGTAATAGAACTGGAATAGATGAAAACTAAGTGTGATGAATTTCTAATTAAGCCTGGGTCCAACCTGCTAAGTTCCTTCTCCCACAATTCCATTATAAGTGGCACTTTCCAGATTTACAGTACAGATAATCCTTGACTTGCAACCATTGTTTAGTGACTATTTGAAGTTGCAATGGCATTGAAAAAAGCGACTTACAACCAGTGCTTGCATTTATGACCATGGTAGCAACCCCATGATCATTTGATCAAAATTCAGGTGCTTGACAATGGAAATGCATTCACAAAGGTTTCAATATGTCAGTGTCATGTGATCGCCATTTGCAACCTTCCCATCTGGCTTCCAATGAACAAAATCTATGGGAGAAGTTGGAGTCACTTAATAACCACATGATTCACTTAATGGTTGCAGTGATTTGCTTAAATAACCATGGCAAACAAAAGTTGTAAAATTGGGTGCAACTCACTTCCCCACTATTTTGCTTTGCAATGGCAATTCTGGTCCCTATTGTGTTCAAATGTTGAGGGTTGTTACCTCTTACATATTCTAATAGGCCCTTATGGTTACCCATTTCTTGTTCATAGCAAATTAATTGTGGACATATTAAATGTCATGATAAATCCTGTTGAATTACATGGGGTTCTTTCTTGATTTTTGTTTTTGTTTGTTTGTTTGTTTGTTCCTTTAAATCTGTCTTGATTCTTAGAGATGGCTGGACTAGTCCCTGCAGTTGTCCTGGAACAATTTTCATAAATGGTTTGCCCTTGCCTATGTTGTAGGGCTAAGAGAGAGTGACTGGCTTTAATATCTAAGGCAGAACTGGAACTCACACTCTCTCAGTTTCTACCCTGGTGCTTTAATCACTATACCAAACTGACTCATCACTCTTCAGTACACATGCATATATTTGTATTTTTAATAGTTACCTGTAATTAAATCCTACTGAAACCAATAAGACCAGTTAGTGATGACAAGCCTTATTACTTTCAGTGGCAATAAACTGACCCTCTCTTTCAGTCCATAGTAATTTCTCATAAATTTTTGGTCATGAAATGTATCCCATAGAATAATAAATAGCATCCCACCATAAAAATAACTAAGGCATTTAATGGAATGCAAAGAAAACTGGCATTCTCAAAGCATTATGCTGGTCTACATCCTATAATAAAAGAATGCTGATTATTATAAAGGGTAATGCTAATAATATTGTGTTATTGTTTATCTTTTTATTTTGACGTACAAGATACTTGTAGCAATGTACAACATTTTTATCTCATCCTTCCCCGTGACAAGAATTATCTTGTCAGGGTCATCTCTCAAGTTGTGAAACTGAACATTGCTTTCTTTCTTTCTTTCTTTCTTTCTTTCTTTCTTTCTTTCTTTCTTTCTTTCTTTCTTTCTTTCTTTCTTTTTTTTCAAACTGAATCAGCCATACAAAACTCAGGATGAATTCCAAAGTCTGCTCTTATTGGAGGGTGGCATTTGAAGGAAATCTGCAGCTAGCCAGCCCTTATTCCTCCTGGCAAGAACTGTTTCCTCCCCATCCTGCTGTAGCCATAGCACAAGAGTAGGAAGTGCCTCAAGCTGTCATTCGTGTTGGAACGAGTTGTTCTCTGACTTGTGGCCCTAGTCCAAACCAAGTGCTTTGACTATCAAATGCAATCCCTGGTGAGTGCTGGAGACTTTTGATAGCAGGCAGGTTGTGGCAGTTGGCAGCAGCAGGCATCTCAGCACTTCCTAGAACTGGATTCCAATGGTGGCATTTGAAGGTCAAAAGCAAGATAGGGGGTGCATTTCTTCCTTTCCAGCAATCTGAGCATTTCGACTTTTAGAAGTCAAGTTTCTAGTTCTTAACATGCTTCTAATACCCAGCATTCCAGAGTAAATGTAAAGATCTGGAATCTTTTCTCTCCCGTGTCTTTAACAGTTCTTAAGGGAAAGTTGCGGTCACATAGGCATTCATGTCAGTTGGATCAAGCTTAAGGTTCTGCTATGAAATATATTAGTTTTATTATGTCAGTTCTGGGAGTTAAAGTCCACGCTTCTTAAAATTGCCAAGTTTGAGAAGCAATGCTGTTGCTTATCTATCTCAAATAAGTGATTCTAAAAGAAAGTGAAATGCTGGAATTCAAGCAAGACACCTCTTTCAGCTAGCTCGAGCCTATCTTATATTTCAGATCTTGTAAAGAAATTACTTTGCAGATTAGATAAATATCTGGGCTACAAAAAAACCCACATGGCTACCAATGATGGCCAATAACCCTACTGATATTTAATGGCATTCTAGATTTCTGCAACCAGCTAAATAACAG